TCCCCTGCCACCCAAAGCCTCAGGTCAGGTTTGCCTTGGACACTCTCCCTTCTCCCTTCTGCCTTCTCTGAGGCTGAGGGGCTGCAGGGGTGGATGCCTGAACTCCCTCCCTCTCTCAGGGATGCCTCAGCTCTATGGGACTTCCTCTGGATCACATGATTGCATTTTCCTGCCTTGGGGTATCCAAAAGGCCTGCCTCTGGGAAGGGGGGTCTAGAGGCATGAGCTTGTCTGGACAACAGAAACTCAATCCCCACCTCCAAGCAGTTCGGTCCCTCAACACTCTCTGCATTAGAAGGGGAGCCTCTGCAAGTGTGAGGACCAGGGGCCTCTAAACACGGTTTTTTTCTTTTCTTTTCCTTTTTGAGATGGAGTCTTGCTCTGTTGTCCAGGCTGGAGTGCAGTGGCACCATCTCCACTCACTGCAAACTCCGCCTCCTAGGTTCAAGCGATTTCTGGCTAAGTTTTGTATTTTTAGTAGAGATGGGGTTTCACCATGTTGGCCAGGCTGGTCTCAAACTCCTGATCTCAAGTGTTCTACCCACCTCGGTCTCCCAAAGTGCTAGGATTAAAGGCATGAGCCACCACACCAAGCCCTAAACACAGCCTGAGGCTGGTATCCCAGGAGGCCTTGAGAAATCTCAGGTTTGCTGCTGACAGGTGTGCCAGGAAGCGACCTGGCTGCTGTCTGCAAGTGGCAAAACCCTGAAAATCCCAGAAATAAACAATAAAATAAAATCCTCAATGGTGATTATACAGTACTATTGTTGATTCAGCCAGGACCTGTGCTAAGCTTTTCACCTACATTATTTCATTTATATTTCAGAGCAATCCTTTGAAGTAGTCATGCTTATATCAATTTTATGGATGAGGTCAGAGACTTCTGCTGGTTAAGTACCTTGCCACTATCACACAGCTAGTTAGTAAATAAACTTTAAAAAATGGAAGTATTATGTACATAAAGACAGGCATAGTGTACAACTAAATGTGTTATCATAAAAGTGAACATACCTGTGTAACCATCACTGAAATCAAGAGCTAGAAGATAACCAGCATCAGAAAAATCCCAGACCCACTCCAATAACCTCCTCTTCCCCAGGGGTGACCATTTTTTTCACCAAATATTAGATGGCTAGTTTGTGAATTTTATAAAAATAGAATTCTACATTGCACATACTTTTTGTCTGACTTTTTTTCTCCACTCAATATTATGTCTGTAAGGTTGATCTAATGTCATTCATGTACAAGTAGTTCGGTCATTTTTAATGCTATAAAGATGTTCATAGGATGAATGTATCACAATTTATTTATACATTTTTCATTTTGCTGGTTATTTGAGTAGATTTTAATTTTGCCCTATGACAAATAATGCTACTTGGAATGTGCTTGGATAGTTGACCCTTGAACAACGAGGGTCAGAGCAGTAAAAAGTTCATGTATAACTTTTGGCTCTCCCAAAACTTAACTACTAATAGCTTACTATTGACCAGAACCCTTACTGATGACATAATTGATTAACACATATTTTGAATGTATATACTGTATTCTTACAGTAAAGTAAGCTACAAAATAGAAAATACTTTTAAGAAAATTATAAGAACGAGAAAATATATTTACTATTCATTAAGTAGAAGTGAATCATCATAAAGGTCTTCATCCTCACCATCTTCACACTGAGTAGGCTGAGGAGGAGGAGGAAGAGGAGGAATTGGTCTTGTCGTCTCAGGAATGGCAGAGGTGGAAGAAAATCTGTGTATAAGTGGACCCATGCAGTTCAAACCCATGTTGTTCAAGGGTCACCTGTACATGTGTTTTGTTGTGCATATTTCGGTGTGGGATATACCAAGAAATGGAATAGATGGGTCATAAGGTATGTGGATTTTCAGCTTTAGTAGATACGGTTTACATAGTTTTGCAAAGCGGCTGTACCAGTTCACTTTCAGCTATGAGAGTCCTGGGGCATCCACATCCTCACCAACATTTGATACTGTTGGTCTTTTTTTTACTTTTGCCATCCTAACAAATGTGTTTCAGTTTGTATTCCCTGATGACTAATGAAATTGAGTAGCTTTTCAAACGCTATTGGTCATTTGGATATCTATTGGCTTATTCAGGTCTCTTGCCCATTTTTTATTGGGTTGTCTGTCTTTCCTGGTGATTTGTAGAAGTTTCTTTATAGTTTCTGGCTATGAGTCATTTGTCACTTATATGGATTCTAAATGTCTTCTCTATGGCTTTTCTTTTCACTCTTAATAGTATCTTTTAGTGAAAAGAAGACTCAAATTTTAATGTAGTCCAATTTTTCAATGTTTTCTTTTTTGATTCTGTTTTTGTTTCTGTTATATGTAAATACAACTCACTTTGTATATTGATATTTCAATCCAAGAACCTTGCTGAATTTACTTATTCTGTTAGTTTCTCTATAAATTATTTTGGATTTTCTACATATGCAATGATATAGTCTGTCAATAACGGCAGTTTTTTTCTTTCCATTTCTTAAAATTTTATTTGTTTTCTTGCTTTACTGCAAAGGCTAGGGCCTCCAATACATTAATGAATAAAAGTGGCGATAGGAAGCATCTTTCTTTTATTCTCAGTATTAGGGGAAAAGTATCAATATTTGAACATTTATATGATATTTTCTGGAGGTTTTTTTTTTTTTGTAGATACTCAATCATGTTAAGGCATTTCCCATCTAGTCTTACTTTCCTAAATACATTTTTTTTCCTTTTATTATCATCAAGGGTTGAATTTTATTGAATGCTTTTTCTGAATCTATTGAGTTGATCAATGATTTTCTTCTTTATTCTGTTATGGTAAATAACACTGACTGATTTCTGAACACTGAAATAATATTGCATTTCTGGAAAAAAAATATCATGTTGGTTGTGATGTATTGTCCTGTTTATACATTGCCGAATTCAGTTTGATAACATTTTATTTAGGATTAGCATCCATGTTCAGGAGAAAGAAATCACCATTTTCTTTCCTTGTCAGGTATTAAGGTTATAAAACTCTCAAAAATGAGTCAAGAAGTCATTTTTATTTTCTAGAAGAGCTTTTGTAAATACTGATGTTATTTCATCTTTAAAGGTTTTGAAGAATTCACTGGTGAAGCCAGCTGGGCCTGGAGTTTTGTTTTTTTGTTTTGATGGAAAGGTTTTTCATTATGGATTTTATTTCTTTAATAGATGTAAGGCTATTATATCAGATATTCCTTTTTTATTTGGGTCAGTTTTAATAAGTTGTGTTTTCCAAAGAATTTGTCTATTTCACCTAGATTTAAACATTTATCATCATCAATTGGTTCTGAACAGCTTTTTACCTTATTTAGGAGCCACAGATTCTATTGTTAGGGCTTCCTTTCCATTCCTGATAATATTTGGGACTCTTCTTTTTTTAAAAAAATTAGTCTTATCATGGGCTTATCAATTGCATTAATCTTTTTTTTGAGTCGAAATTTCGCTTTTGTTGCCTAGGCTGGAGTACAATAGTGTGATCTTGGCTCACTGCAACCTCCACCTCCCAGGTTCAAGTGATTCTCCTGACTCAGCCTCCCGGGTAGCTAGGATTTATAGGCGCCTGCCACCACGCCTGGCTGTTTTTATGTATTTTTAGCCGAGACACGGTTTCTCCATTTTGGTCAGGCTGGTCTCGAACTCCTGACCTCAGGTGATCCCCTCCCCTCCACCTCCCAAAATGCTGGGATTACAGGCGTGAGCCACTGCGCCTGCCTCTGTATTAGTCTTTTTTAAAGACTTTTTTTTTTTTTTTGCTTTGTTGGTTTTTTAAATTGTATTATTGTTTTCTACTTTATTAACTCCTGCTATTTATTATTTCCATTCTTATACTGTCTTAGGGTTTAATATGCAGTTCTTTTATTAAAATCTTGAGATGGAAACTTAGTTCATTGTTTCTTCATCTTTTCTTTTTTTTCTAGGAAAGCATTCAAGGCTATAAATTCCTCTTAAGCATTCCTTGGCTGCATCCCTTACATTTCGATATGTTTTAGTTTTATTACCTTTTTATTGAAATATTTCCTAATTTCCATGGTGATTCCTATTTTGATTCGTGATTGTTTAGATATGTATTAGTTCATTTTACATCACCTTATTCCAACCAAGCACTGAGCTCTTTAAAGATGGTGCAGACTTTCTGCAGGCTGAGTTCTTCCTGGATCACCCCTTTGTGGGGAGTCTCAACAGAAGACCAGTGGTATTTAACCCAGCTCTTCCTCCTTGCTGGGCTCTGAATTCCTTTCTGTGCCTCAGCCCCATAAGAGTCCTGGAAACTCTGCTCAACTTCTCAGTTTCTGAACCACTGCTGGGGAATCCACACATGCCCAGGAGAAAAGTGGCTGGCACCTCTCTGCTCACACCTTGTTTCTGGGATCTTAGTGCCTTAGTTTCTCACTGCATTGATGGGTTTTGTTGTTGTTGTTGTTGTTGTTTGTTTTTTTAAATTCTTATTTATTTATTTATTTAGGAGCCAGAGGTCTTGCTATGTTGCTCAGGCTGGCCTCAAAGTCTTGGGCATAAGTGACCCTCCCGCCTCAGCCTCCTGAGTAGCTGGGACTATAGGCTGCTATTAGCTAGTTGTTTTTGATGTCTTCAAACAGATTTTGAAAAGATGTTTTGTCCACATTATCCAGTGTCCCTGGCACGAAGGGCATCTGATAAGCCAATCTACGCTTACCAGCAGGGGACATCCCCTGGAACCAGGATGTAGGCACAGATGTGCACACCTGGACCTCAGAGCCCACACCCCTGCATGGCAGGAGGAGCTGCCATGTTGGAGTACGGGCCACCGAATGCGGAGTTGAAAAGGAATGTGAAGCCCTCTTGCTCTCCAGCTCTCTTCTTCATCATCTTCATTATTCTGGATCTAGTCAAGCATTGCCATTTACCTAATCTCAGTTCTAAAATGTGTTGAACACAAATTTCCTACTTTCTTAGTAAAATTAATCCTTTAAATCACTTACTTTCTAATAATTGTTCACAGGGCATCTGGGACCTCTTTTTCAAGTTCACCTTCTCCTGGTCTGAAATCAAAATGAAAACAAACAGAATCCAAGTGTGCTGTAGCTCCTGACTCCCCTCCGTGGGCTCGGCCAGCCCCTGCGTGGAAGCCTCCGCATGGGTTCACTAGGCTGTTGTTCGGGCTCTCCCGAAGTGCCTGCTTTTCCGACAATAGGTATGGCGTGACTGGCCACATCTCCCTTTTTTCTTTGGGTGCCAGGAAGCCTGGACTGTTGAGCCAGCTTTACTGTTCAACCATAGCAACTATGTCAGTGTGCAGATAACTGAAAGTGCCCTTCCCTCCCTGGCTTGGCTTCTCCCTCTTACTTCTCTTCCCAAGCTCTGAATTTGCTTTATTTTTGTGTATTTTGCCATGATATTGTCTCTCTGTGTGTCTTTACATAAAACTTGAATTACTCCAGTTCTGCCAATCTATGTCATCACGTGGCATTTTTATTTGTGTTCATAATTTTTCAGTCACGGAGACATTTGAAAGACAACAGAATCGATCTTGGAGAAACAGAGATGTGGGCGCTATTGCACTTCAGAGAATTTATTGCGAGGTTGGACTTTTATGAATCTTTGCCATACATATTCTGTTGCTTAAGGTTTTTTGTAACAATGTATGTATCTATTGCTTTATGTGAAAGACACTTCTCAAAATTAAAATCACTAAACAGTGTTCTGTGATTAACCAGGAACAAAGGGAGATGGACAACTGCTCAATGAACATGAAACTATGAAGATCAATTTTTTTTCAAGGTCATGGACAAATTAAAGTAGTTAAGTGTTAAAAACAGAGACCATCATGTCATTCCTCATGACTACAATAGACCAATAGGTAACTCTAAGTGTATTTCCTTTTAAAAAAATTAACTAACAAAAATGTAGTTAAAGGTGCTAATCCACTACTTTTGATACTGTAATATTTACTGTCGTATTTATTTTTCTATTTTATGGGCATAGCCATCCACAGAAGGGTCAGTAAGAGAGAAATTTCACTGCTTTCCTCTTCTATCCATTATTTTTGTTGTTTCATTTCATAGCTATTACTAAAAATAATGTCGCAGAGAAGCAGGGTGATAAAAGGATCCTCTCTGGGGGTCAATCCATGAGGAAAGCTGGAGAAATATCTGCTGAACAGAGTTCATGGCTTCATGTTCTATCCGAGCAAGTCTCATCCTGCTGTCGGCTCTCTTGAGGCTGAGCCAGGTCTTTGCACACCTTTCCTCTGGCTGATGCTTTTAAATTCCCTCTGTCTTCGTCTCTGCTATTGAGTTCGGTCTCCTCCGTGAGTCCCCCACGGGGCCTGGTGAGGACAGGTTCTGTGTGAGCAGCTTTCTGTTTTGAGCCTGTGATGTCTGGCCAAGGAACGCCTGTCAGCTGCCTGGGCTCCATCTCAGTCCAGAGGCGTCTTGCTGTGTGGTCTTAAAGCAGGTCACTTCACCTCTCGGTATCTCTCTCTGTAAAACCCAGATAATAATACTTCCCAAATAAAGAAAGGGTTTTCTTTAAGCCCTTTGAGCTCCTCAGATGGAGCGCACCACAGAAATGCCAAATGCGGCATTGTGATCCGCGCTGCCTCCATGTGATTAGGTAATGTGAGATTGGGGTTCATTATGCTTTGTCTGGAATGAATGCGAGCCCTGCCACAAAGCACTGGGAACTCTCAGTTACATAGAAACCCCATGGTAAGCTTGGATTGGCTTACACTTAAATAAAGCACACCAGAAAAGAGCAGTAGTTTTGACGAACCCGGCCCTCAATTAACACTCATTTGATTTCTTCTGCTGAGTGCGGGCCATAAGTAAAAGATGACCCAGTGACAGGTGCAGGGGGCATAAGCAACACTCTGAGGTGGCTGAGCTGGGAGAAGGGCAGCTCCTCTGCAAAATGCTTCAGGCTCCCAAGGAGGCAGGCCCAGAGTGGGCAGGTCTGGACTTACCGCTGCACAGAGAAGGGGGAAATTCAGTAGCTACCATTTATTGAGTTTCTACTAGGTGCCAAGAACTCTGCAATGTATGTCATTCTTCTAAACCCTCCAGACAACGGTATTAAACCATATTAATATTCTGAAAACCAAAACAAACGCCCACTACACTTGAAACATTTTTTTTTTTGTACATAATGAAAGCCTTTATCTGTTTGGGGCCACAGTTTCAGCCAGAATTTTGACCTGGGGCCTCCTCACTGATCCTGAGGCTTTAAGACCACACAGCATGGGTCTGCGAATTGCAAATGGGAGGCTGACTTTTCCCATTCTTATCCAGGCCTCCAGAAATGGCTCTGGAGCTAGATCCAGCCTCCTTTCTTCTGAGGCCTTGGATACGTCCTACTTGGCTTGACAAACTTTTACCAGAATCCTCTGATCCTATTTCACAGTTGGTGCAAAGGTAGGATCTTGGTTGTGTCTTCCTTCAAGCTGATTATGAACCAGGGGTGGAGAGTAGGAAGTAAGGAGCCCTGGAATCAGAGAAGTCAGGGGCAAGCATCTTTTTGGCTTGAGGTTCTACAAGAACCATAAACCAAGTAGTGTGCATACTAAGAAAACAGGCTGGACAACAAGAGGAGAGAGGGAGGGTCCTTAGGATTGGCTGCTTGTACCATGGCCCCCAGTGGCTCACTAGAAACAAGGGGAATCCCGGGTAAGAAGACTCCTTCACTCCCCAGTGAGGAATCTATTGTGTCAATTGCTGGGAAACATGCTCAGTTGAACTGACCCTCTATCACCATACGTGTGTGTGGAATCCATTGTTAGGGAAACCATGGTGAGAAGGGAAGTGAGATGCTCTGGATGGGTGCTGAGCTGAGTGCTGACGGAATGGGCCTTCCAGAAGAGATTGCATATTATCCAAGGAACTGTCGTTGCCTGGAGAGTCCTGGGCTGACTTGCTCTCTTAGGAGCTGATGTTTAGGGAATGGGAGAAGCAGCTGGTTTAAAACATCAAACAATGTGAACTTCAGAATCTGCCAAATCCTAAACGTTTCTTGCCAAGCACCATTTTTTCTAGATTGTGAACTCATCTGTGCTTCAAAAGCAATTTTGTTTAAATGACTTCTTCCTCTTACTCCTAATCCTTGGGAAGCTGTAATACACAGGCGGTAAAGGGGACTCCCCAAGAGATACTCACTACGGCTGCTGTGAGCCAGACACTGGGCTGACACTGCATAGCACCGAGGGTGTGGGAGACCAGAAGTCAGGAACCTGCTTTCTCAGGGGAGGGGCTGGGTCCCTGCAAGGAAACAACGTGTGGTGTGTGTGGCTTCATGATCCACTGGCCGAGGTCTCACAGCAGATCATTTTGCAAATTTCTCCTTCCTTTCCTTTTCTTTCCTTTCCTTCCCTTCCTTCCTTCCTTCCTTCCTTCCTTCCTTCCTTCCTTCCTTCCTTCCTTCCTTCCTTCCTTCCTTCCTCCCTCCCTCCCTCCCTTCCTTTCTTTCTTTCTTTCCTTTCTTTCTTTCTCTTCTTTCTCTTTCTTTCTTTCTCTCTTTCTTTCTTTCCTCTCTCTTTCTCTCTCTCTCTCTTTCTTTCTTTCCTTTCTTTTTTTTTTGATGGAGTTTTGCTCTTGTTACTCAGGCTGGAATGCAGTGGTGTGATCTTGGTTCACTGCAATCTCTGCCTCTCTGGTTCAAGCAATTCTCCTGTCTCAGCCTTCTGAGTAGCTGGGACTACAGGCAGGCAACACCAAGCCTGGCTAATTTTGTATTTTCAGTAGAGACGGGGTTTCACCATGTTGGCCAGGCTGGTCTCAAACTCCTGACTTCAGGTGATCCACCACCTCGGCCTCCCAAAGTGCTAGGATTCCAGGAGTGAGCCACTGTGCCCGGCCCGCAAATTTCTGTTTCGAATTGAGCCAGCATTGTCCCCCAAAGCTTCACTGAAAATTGCTGACATGAAGTAGGTTGATGAATAGGAGAAAAGGCATACACATTTATTCAACGTATATACACAGGAGCCTTCAGAATGAAGACCCAAAGATAGACGGGAAATTGTCCACTTTTACTCTTAGGTTCAAGAAAGTATGGACGGTCATGTGGAAATATGACTGGACAAAAAGGGTCTGATGGAATGCTAGACTGAGTGGGAAGCCCAGGAAGGCCTGTCTGCCTAGATTCTTCCTGGCATTCATGCAGCATTCCTTCCTTCTGGGTATGGGACAGGACCCTTTCTGGAATGGGGGTCTTATGACCTACAGTCAAACAAGATAGGTCAGATGAGTTCTTTACAGCCAGTTTTTACACAGAAAGGTGGAAGGAAAGCTAGAGTCGTATTTTAGTTTTATGGCTGGCTTTGGGGAAAAGGGGTTCTGGTTTTTATACCCGCCTTGGGGAAGAAGGATTCTGGTTTCTATTGCTGGCCTCGGGGAGAATGAGGGGCAAGAGATAGGAGGGCAGGAGAAGATCAGAGAAAAATTTTGCCTCTGAGGCTAAGCCTTCCTTTTGGAGTATTGTTTTCTGAGTCCCAACACTTGTTATTTGGAATAACTCATTAGAGTGCAGAGACTGGGACTATGTCATGTATTAACATCTCCCAGGGAGTTGTCAGCCTCCCTCAGCAAATGCTTCCTGAAAGAATGAATGAACCAGCGAGTGAGTGTTGGCCATGCAAAGTCAGTAGTTTTCTGCCAACCCCATGAGTTCCACGAGGAGTCTCCAGAGATTCCTTGCAAAGAACTTGGTACTGGGGTATGTACTTATAATATCTCCTTCTTTTTCCTTCTATTCTATCATCCTGTGTCTTGTCCAGACTCCAGGAGTTCAGTGAGAAAGGAAAAAAAAAAAAAAAAAAAAAAACCAGAAGAAAAAAACCATTTAAAAAATCCCACTGCAGGAAGATTCTGCTGCCTCTAGACATTAGGAAAACCACTGGCCTAATTCATTTGCTATGGTGGCTTTTTCATCCTCAGGACTGGTGCTGCCTGTGTAGTTCAGCCTGTGAAGGCTCCCTTTCAAGTAGGCCAGCTGCGTGGTATTCCAGACTTACAATGTGCAGGGCAGATGCGGTGCCCCCTTGAAATACACTTAATGGTGGTCACCAAAATCCAAAGGCAAACCCCCACAAAAATCTAACTTAAAAAAAAAAAAAACCTTTCTAGATATCAGTCCTCATCTGGATATTTCATTAGGATCCTGTGACATCTGGGGACCAGCAATGGAAAGAAGGAAAGAAACTTCCATATGTTGAGAGCCTATTATATGCTTGCATTGTGCTAAGCCCTTTCCCATATGTTATCTAATGTCATCCCCCGTAAAAACCCTGCCAGAGTGGAATTATTCTTCTCATTTTACACATAAGAAAACAGTAGCTCGGAGATGCTAAGTTACTCGCCCAAGGTCACATAGTAAGTGGGAGGTGCTGAATTTGAATCCAGACAGTGACATTATTAAGGGGTGGTTTGGGAGGCTTTCATTGTAACTGTCATCTGTAGCAGCCCCTTCTCCACAGTTATTCTGATAAACACACAATCTAAGTCAGAAAAGCCTGTAGGAGGCAAAAATGAAGCTTCAATATGTGCTCCCCTGCCATTTCCCTTTCATTGAGATTGTTGCTGCCCCAAACCCTGTCTACACAGGCATTCTGGAGTCCATACTAAATCAAGATTTGTCTGGCTCCAAAGACCACATTCTTTCCAACACAACCAGGATGCCTCTTCTCTTAGATTCCTACCAAGAAGACCTTGTCTTCTTGAAATCTTTACCTAGAAGAGCCAATGAATCAGTTTAGGATTTCCCTAATGGTGGCTGGCACCACAGGTTCCAAAATGTCACCAGCCAGCTCAAAGTCACAAGCCCTTTAAATGCCTCCACACATCCCGGGGTATACTGACACGAGGAGTCACGTGGGTAAGCATCACTGGGTTGCAGAAGTACTGGGCTAATGGTGTGGACGAGGGTTTCAATTTACTTGGAAACATCCACGGGCCAAGGTTCAGTTCATTTTAGGTTTCGACTAAGTTTTTCCAGGTTGTAAATGTAGAGAGCAGGGGTATTTAAAGTGACTGTCCTGACACAGGCTGTCGTTCCCTAGGGGCCACTCTAGCTTCCTTCTTGGAAGTGTGATGTGGGTCCAGGGTTCAGGCCAGCCATGGTCTTGGATTCCGGATGGGAGTTCATTTTGAGAGACCAAATGGTCATAAGTGAACATGTCATCACGGGCTAGCTGGAAAACACGAACACCAGCTCAGAGTCCAGGAATTCAGGATTGTAAATCCTCCTTCCCTCAAGGTGGTTCACATACGACTACTAGCAATTGACATTCATAGCTCTTGTAATTCACAGTACTTTCACGCCTGGGACTCTGTTTTGATCCCTGCAAGTACAGTGTTATGACACTCCTTTTATGGATGATGAATTGGAGACACCAAGAGGTTCAGAGCTTCTTCCAAAGTCATAGAGCCAATGAGTTGTGAAGATGAGGGGCTCAGTCTTCTGATTTCATGCAAAGGGTTGATGTGACATTTTCAGAGCCTAGTTCTAGCTTCATTGTGCTGGAAAGTGGTCTTGGCCTGAGGACAGCAGGGTGCTTCAGAGTCCAGCCTGATGCCTTTTGGCAGCCACACACCCTCCTGTGAAGGCACCGCAAGTTCCTTGGGACGGAGACGTGTTCCAGGTGTGGGTGTTGCCTCTAGAGAAAAGGCGGCTTCTTCTGGCGAGCCACATGCAAGGTGTCTCGCTGGCCACTGTGAAGTGGGGAAAGATGCCTGGAATAAGCCATGATCTCTGCCAGCGCTGGAATCACTAACATCCTTGAGCTTCCTTCAGTCTGATGCAGAACCTGAGGACGTGGCCATCTCTGGGTGGTGTTCCGGGAAAGCAGGAAGTCTTCAGACCTGACTGTCTTCAGATTTCAGCATGGGCTCCCTGGCGAGCCATCTCAGGGGTATAGGGAACATGGACGCCGCCCCGGAGGCAGCTCTCAGGTATGCATCCCCTGGTGGCCTGGGCCTCTCTGGGGCTGGTGGCTGAGGCTGGAGGGACAGGCACTGAATGAGGCTGTGTACTAGATTTCTCCCCTTTCCACACACTGGTCTTACCCAGGCAGGTTCAGGGGGTGCTCTGAGGGACAGGGTGCTGTAGGGAACAAAGAAACAGCATCCCTTTCTTCCTCTGAAGGTCTGCTGAAAAATCAACTCACAAAAGATTAATTGGAATAAAGGCATACAGATCAATATGCACATTGGGGAGAACCATGGAGTGATTACCCCACCATCTGCATCAAGGTATAGAAGCTTACATCCCATTTTACAGTTACAGAGAGAATGGGGGATCAGAGCATGGCCCAAACCAGGCTATGGTGGAACAGCAGGTTATGGTGGCAAGACAGATTATTGAGGGGAAGAAGGGGAGTCCTGGCTAACAAAGGTGATACTGTTATGCAGATGAAATCCCACAGATAGCAGCCCTCTAAGAGAATAGATGATAATTCTTTTTTTTTTTTTTTTTAGATGGAGACTTGCATTGTCGCCCAGGTTGGAGTGCAGTAGAGCAATGTCAGCTCACTGCAACCTCCGCCTCCCAGGTTCTAACGATTCTCCTGCCTCAACCTCCTGAGTAGCTGAGATTACAGGCATGCGCCACCATGCCCAGCTAATTTTTCTATTTTTAGTAGAAATGGGTTTCACCATGTTGGCCGGGCTGGTCTCAAACTCCTGAATTCAGATGATCTGCCCGTCTCGGCCTCCCAAAGTGCTGGGATTACAGGGTTAATCCTCTTTTTAGACCTTTAAACATGTCAGACTCTCAGTTAATCTTTCCTAGATCTGGACAAGGGAAGGTCTTAGAGAAGGCCTGGTTGCATCTCTGCAGATGCAAATCTCCCCCACAAAAGACAACTCTTCAGGGAACCTTCTGTTTGCTGGCTCTCTGAACAACCATCTCAAAATACGTCAAAGACCTATGTTTTCTACTGAAATATTTTTATTTCTTCCAGCGCAATCTGGGATCTCAGGGGCTGACAGCAGATAAGTTACCTGAAGGCGCGGCAAGCAGTGTTCCCTGCAGACAGAAGCTACCTGGCGCCCCAGTGATGTGGGAGCCCCTCAGTTCCTGCGCTTCTTGCGCCTGGGCACATGTCCCTGGAGGACGGCGGCCCTCCTGGCCTCTCCCCTGTCTACTCTTTACCCCCAGGAGCTCTGCTTCTTGAGATAAGACCACCTCTTCCCTCCAGCCAATGTGGTGCTCTTCTGATCTCAAAACCTTGCACTTCCAGGGCTCAACATACAGTGAGTTCTCAAAGATTCAGTAAATAAATGTACAAATGTCTCCCGTTACAGCCACCACATTCAGTGGGGTAGATCTTATGATCATTTTTCTGAGGAAGGGTGCCGTGCTGATGCTCTCAGTCTGCAAATTGCAGAGCTGGGAATCCAAAGAAGGC